TTCCTTTCTGGGGCTCCATCTCCACATATATGGACCACGTCAGTCTGCCTCTCCTGGACTGTAAATTCCTTGAAGACAATGTCTCTGTCACATGCATCTCTGTACCTCGATGTTCAGCTCATAGTAGGAACAAAATAAATATTCATTGACTGAGAAATGAACAAATTAAAAATGGAGCCTAACCTGTGAGCAAAGGCTAAAATCAGCATGATGACAGTGGAACAAATGTTGGTTACAATAGTGAAATGAGTCATCACAACGGCCTGTCTGCAGATAGTTCTGCTGTTTGTAAGGCCGCTAACCCTCAGGTTGCATTAGTAAACAAGTTGGGTGGAGATTCTCTAGAGTGTAAGCTGACTTTCAGGGACAGAAAATGGGGGTGGTGCCTCATATTGGCTTGCTTCCTTAGCAATTTGCAAAAACAAAACCCAGCAAAACAATACCCCCTTTCCCAAAAGTTGGCACAGGCTCGAGTTTGTCTTTTCCAAAATACTTTCTTTCGTCAGGGAACACCCCCCACGCCACAGCTGTCAGGCATAGTGTGCTCTGAATCCATTAGAGAAGGTCAGTCCTGAATACCAAACAGATGCAGAGCCCTGAGTTTCCAGAACTGGAGTCTATGGCTTGAAATGCATAACAATAGTCATCTTCTGTGTTCTTGCTGTTCTAAGCTTCACCAGAAGTAGGCATATTTTAGAGACCGGCCTTGAGCTATCCTAATTTCCACACCTGAAGTGAGCAACAAATGATTTGAGACAGAAAAGTAATACAGGAGAATATCTGAGCTTTACATGCCCATGCATGCTCCTTGTTTCCTGACAAAAACAACACTTTAAATCCAGTCAACATCACAGAGACAACAAGCCTATAGAGTTTTTGAACAGCAAAACTTCAGTACTAAATAAACAAATGAGCAAAACTAAATCAAACCAAACAACAACACAAATATCCCTCTTACTCCAGATAACCTATTAATTTCAGACGGAAAGGCCCTAGGCAATAAGGGAAATAAAATGTGATCCATGCATTAGGTAGGTTGGATAGTTAATTTAGGGTGAATAGAAACGGCTAAATAATAAGTTGTCATGGTAGAAAGTAAGTTTTGGACATTCTGCTTCCACATTACTAACCAAACTTGTGAAAATACTCAAGAGAGACAGAAAAAAGGACTAAATTTAGATGCTGATTTAATGTATTCAAGAGCATGATTCATTTCCCCCTTCCCTGGTACAGCCTGGGGAATCTGTGTGTATGGCAGGCAACGCAAAGATGCCCTGTAAATAAAGGGAAGTCTCATTCATTCAGAGGCTCGAGAAAGCTAGAGACACCCCGTTTTCTCTGCCAACAGAGGTGAACTTCCAAGCACCTCACACACAAAAACGTAGAACCAGATTTCTCAGCTGGCGAAAATCCATCTAATTTTAGCTTTGCCCCCGCCTTGGCATGAATGTGCTGGAAATTTATTCTGCTGCTCCTCTACTCTTAACTGGCTTTTTTCCCCTCAGGCTCCAGTGGGATCCTGACCAGCTCTCAGAAGCCATGCAACATGGGTCATTTAATGAGATGCCTAGAAGGATATCATCATTCGGTAGCAATGCTTTTAGCAACATGGAGCCCAAGTCCCCTCACGGTAGCCCAGAGATTGGGTCTTAGAGAGCTAGTATATATAATGTAAATACCTGAGATGATTTTGGGCTATTTGAGAAAACAAAAACCAGAAACCCACCAATCAGACAATGACAGCAGGTTCAATTCTCATCCATTAATCAGGGTGTTAGGCAAAGTGTCTAGAAGAGCAGATCATCACTGTTCCTTCCTGAGTTTCATTATCTGCTGTTTCCAAACACATTCTTGCACTCACTTCTGCTCCCAACACCAAAGCAAATGTTTTAGCCTCTACAGATAATTAAGATTAAGGCTGGACTATCGTTTGTGTTAACCCAACTTGGCTTGGAGGTCAAAGTATATGTCATTTTGTAAATTTACATTCGTTTTTTTTTTTTTTTTCTTTTTTCCTTTTGCTTTTAGTCTTTAAGCACATTTGGAAAGTAACCTTAGAAGTCTCATTCTAGCTTTTTTGGCCTTATTGATAGTCTCTGGGTTTAGGACTAACTACAAGAAAAAATGGAATGTATATTAAAAATCTGTAGTTGGGTAATATTGCCTCCCAGAAGTGAGGGCATTAAAGCTGTCCTCCCTTCTGAGGTGTGAGACAGATGTTAATAACCCACCCCGAGGGCCCCATTATACAGCCATATACACTCATCTTAATTAAGAAAGATTATTTCTGCAAACATGAAATGGGTTTGACAATTTTGCAGCTAAAAACAAGAAGAGTTAGACGTGGAACGCGTGCGTTATGTTAGCAATGAGCTGCTCCGAGAAGGTGTGTGAGGATGGGCAGCACTTGGAGAGGTCCCCACTGGGCACATACACACGATGGGGCTGGTGGACCCTGGGCAGGGCTGTGGGTCCAGGGGGATATGAGATCCAATCAGCATGAACACATGCTTCACAAACCAACCTGCACACGGCACAGAAAGGAGGCAAGACACCGCAGGGCAGCATAAACGATTTGTACCTTTCTCAAATAGCTCGGTACTTGGGTCTCCGGGGCAGTTCTGAATGTCTGGGCAGGGCCATCACCCAATCCCCCTTTGGCCCACTCAGTGCCATGACATGAAAACCAAATTATTTAGAGGACAGGGATGTTCAATGACTTTGGCCAAGTGTAATGACAGGTTTAGGGGCAGCGTTCTACACCCATTTGAGAAAGGACAAATACTCTTTAACACTCTAGACAGAAAACTGGCTGATTTAGCTTAGAACAGTGGCCACCATTGCAGCCAATTTCAGAATATCAAAAAGGAAGGTAAGTGGTGGGTGGGGGAAGGGTGTCATGAAGGTTACATCCATCCAAGGCTGAGTTGGCTACATACTGGGATATGGGGTAGAAATTTATTCTCACACACAAAGAGCACCACAGATCTAATTAACAATGTGAGAAATCTCTATTCATACTTCACTCACACAAAACACTGCACTTCCATCTCCAGGGTTTTTTCAAGTTCTAAACTACAATCAGCCCTTCTTTTAAAATAACAATAATAGAACCTCTGATTCAGCCAGATGGTGGTGTTTGTTGCACTAGGCTGGGTTCACAGTACAACATCAATAAATGGCCACTTGTAGACGGACGGACAGAATCTCACTCATAAAGCACACCTACACCTGCCTCCTTCTCCCGTCCCAAAATGTTGCACTGTCAAAAGACCCACGGGGGCTTAATTTCATTTAGGGAAAGAAAGGAA